ATTATAGACATTTAGAGATCTACTGAGTGTCCCAAAAGTGACTCGCAATAGGGAAATGAGGGATTCCTGAGGTCCTTTGAAGTAACTTTTTCCTTAGCGAAAATGCAATCCGTGACAAGCTCGGCTGGAGCAAGGTAGCCGAGCCAACGAGCGGTCGACGCCTAGTTCCGCTGATTGGCTCGGCCGCCTAGCGCAAAGCGAGCTCGCCTCTCATTGGTCAATGTTTTTCGTTAATAACTCGTAAACGAAGCCGCGGATTGCATTTGCGCTAAGGAAGAAGTTACTTCAAATAACCTCAGGAACCCCACATTTCCGGACTGCGAGTGACTTTTGGGACACTCTGCAGAATTCTCTTTTAGCATTTTATTTGTTCTATTCGACCGAGTCAAAATAACATTGACGTAAGTCATATTTTTCTCATTGTGAGAAACGAGGATTATTGTTTACTAACTGTAACAATATCTGTACAGTTTGCTGAACAAATTTATTGTCAAGATATGTAATTCTAATAATAACATAATAATAATATTGATTGGTATATATGTAAATGGGAAGACGTCCTTTGTTACAAAAAGTTTAAGAAGGTATACAAACAATAGAAAGAAAGAGGGAAAGAAAAAGAAATATAGAAAATATAGAAAATTTCTAATGTGCAAGTAGAACAATCTCCGAATCAGCGTATTTACTGAAAGGGAACACTCGTGCTTCTGTCCAGAAGGATTTCCGTTCGGAAAAGTGCAGTCTACCAATTAGCGAAGAATCGGAGCCGCGATTAAAGAGAAGCGAGACGCCATCAATCAGCCAATAAGCAGTCTACGGCGTTGCATAATCGCGCGGCGAATTCTACGAGCGACTATAACGGGATAGTACTCTATCCGATGCATCTGCCGGGGAAAACGGTTCGTTCCTTGAGCTGCCACGCCCGGTTTCTATTGCACGATCAAACAATAACGACCGCAATAATGCTGCAACCGTGGAAAAATCTTTAAGAAATCCTTGCGCCCCGAGCAGAGAGGAATTTCCTCGCGCTTTCCCCGAGCTCATCAGCTTTTCGAGTTCAACGACTTTGCTTGGCTTTCTTTCAAGTACGGCCGGGAAACAAAGGGAACGGGAAGAAAAGTCGTCGGCTTGCGTTCTAATTACAACCGGCGTGGTAACAAAGTGAATTTCAACGTTTTTTTCTCCAACCTCTCCCCTCCATTTCCCCGCGTGCCGCTGCCACCACCACCACCACCACCATCACCGTCGACACTTTTCCATTGACCCGGCAATCTAGAATCGAATAACCTTCTACTCAATGCCGCGAACAAAGGCCACGCGACGATCAAGTCCGCGATAGCGCATAATAATGTGCTCGCGGAGTAGTTGACCTAAGAGCGAGCGAGAGTCGATCCGACTATTCTCGTCTACTGACAATTAAAAATCCAGTCGCGACACCAAGTTTTTGTCGGCGACTGGGAAATTTCCTTGGACTCTAATTTCACGGACGTTAATTGGTCCTGCCAACTGGTCCAATTTATTTGTACAGATTAGGTAATTGTTTCAATTTATTGCTTGAATTTATAAATGCGAATTGGACTTCGATCTTCTCCGCGAAAGACTTAGAAAGTAGGCTGTCTTAAGAATCGCTTCGATTTATTAATTGCTCATTTTGTAGATTGGCCGAACTTTCTGCTCGAATTTATTTTATTGGACTTCAATTTTGCTCATTAAAAATTCAAATGCAAGTGGTTTTAAAGATAGTTTCAATTGATGAATTGCTCGTTTTATAACCTAGACGAAGTTATCGGTTTAATTTATAAATAACAATTCAACTTCAATCTTGCTCATTAAAAACTTAAATGTAAGTGGTCTTAAAAACGGTGTTTGAATTATAAATTGCTCAATTTACGAACCAGAGAAACTTCAAAATTGCTTGCACATGTAAATCACTTAAGCGTATAAATTTCGCTTGTATCTATAAATTGTTCTAAAGCGAAAATTACTTGGTCTAAGAAATAGAATCTAAAACTCGCTCGATCCTAAAAATAGATTAAATTGAAAAATGGCTTTCGCAATTAGCAGTTTCATATTTTTATAAGCGTTCATTCATTCCGTTTGACATGATCTTTTTGGGTCACGCAACCGGATCAGCGATTTAGGCGAGTCGAGAAGTAAAATCAAATGGAAGGGTTCTGAAACAAATGAACGAAACGGAAAAGGAAAGAACAGCGGTGATGAATTTCCGTGTTATTAATTTCCCCGTTTTATTAAAAACGGGTCCTTTTACGAATATCACTTTTCCAATGAAAATGTTAATCCGCTCGGTAACGGCGGGTTTTAAAGTGGCGTACTTCGTTCGGAACCGTGTCCGGAACGACAAAAGTTTGCGCCGGATATTATATTCTTTGTAAATGCCTTTTACCGAGGACTTGAATGACAGTAGTGCAGGTCGCTTTATGGATCGACAACGGTTCCGTGTCAATCGCATGGCGGAACAATCGCGGGCGTCGCTCGCCGCTACCAAAACAACGGGAAAATGGATGTTCGCAAACAGTTGTCGGGCCCTCGAGAAACTTCCAATTAGAAATAATGATCGAGGCATCGATTTTATTGCGTGCCAGAAATTCAGCGCGGAAAAATCCGACGCGATTCCTCTGCGTAGATTTTCCAGGAATTTCAGTTATTCGTCGGCCCCATTCGCGCCAACATTTCGCTACTGATTTGTTAACATTGATTTCATAATTTTTGAAAGACTACACGTTATACAACCCCTAGCAAAAATTATTCGAACATCTTTTAAAACACGATACATTTTTTAATACTGAACTAAACGTCTTGAATTGGTTTTTAAATGTTGACGGAGCTAATCTAGTGCACAATTATTAAAATACTGTATTTTAATTTTGCTATTATTTGGAGAACAGAATAGAACAATATCTACCATACCAGGATCTACAAAATTTTGATAAAATATTATGTATATTCTCTTTTTTAGCAGTAAAATTACCGAACCAGTCAAAACGACCGCTTTTCGACTTTTGCTTCTACAGTTTCTGTTTTCCTTTATTCCCCGCCGACTTTTCGCTACGAAATAATTTGTTGAGCAACTGTTAATGCAACAGCATTTTCCACATGCTAATGAACAGCGACGGGCAAACGGCTTCGACCTGTTAACTTTTTAATTAAATTGTGCGGAGAGATATGGCGGTAAAAAATGTAGCCTATGTTTTCTTTGTCGCGTTTCTACTCGGTATCTGACTGCACGGTAACTTTTCATTAGCCGAATTTGTACTCGTTTTCTTTCCGCGGGGCGAAGATGAAGAGACATCCTTTGCACGTTGTATATTATGCCAGTTACGGCGATTAGTATGAAGACGACTTATCGTGGACAATTTGAAAAATTTCATTCGTTCTTTTCCATTTCGAAACTACACTTCTGTTGACCAATGTTAGGAATATTTTATTTTGAACAATAAATAATAATTAGAAATTAGATTAATACTTCACTTGCAAGTAGAATGTTATTTTTTATTCGGATTTTTCAGGGAAAGACAAGCAATAAATCATTCTTGCATTTCTTTCGACTGTTATATATTATACGATGAGAATTTTGTACGTCAGTTTTGCTGGTAAAATGTTACTTTTTATTCAAATGTTATTTTAATTTATTTTTCTTTGCACAGAATATTTTCCAAATAATCGAATTTCGGAATTGTTCAGTATTTCCTATATCGCAGATAGTTTCAATTAATTGTTTCATTATATCTCCAGACTTCTTTACATTCGAGCCTACTCAGGATTCTACAGGACCGTTTCCAAAAGTCGATGAAACTTTTCGTTCAGCCGAAACGTTTCGTGCACTTCGCTCCCCAATAAAAAGTCGAAGTTTGTTACGACTTCGGTGATCACTCTGCGATTTCGTATACTTTCGTATACTTTCGTATACCCTCCGAGATATCGCTGCGAAAGTGATCGCGGTACGATAATGTTTATAAAGAAATCTGAGGTCCAAGGTAAACGGAACTAATAGCAACAGGCACGCACTGTCAAGTACCAAATAAATCAACGCGCGATACAAGATAACGCGGCCGTCGCGGTTCTACGATGAAAAAGTATTTTTCACTTAGGGCTGCGTACGTCGCGGACATTTGCGATTCAAATTTGTATAAATCATTTTCGCTAAATACAACGACGATAAAGCGTAACGATCTCTTAACGTATCGACCTTCTGCGATTCTTTCTGTGATTCATTTCTTCCTTGTTATCCCGGAAGATCGATGCGTCTAAATCGGTTTTGTCAGCGTTAGACAATTCTTGTGCAATTTCCGCACGAGTGGTGTAACAATGACTGACTGGACAAAATGGAATCAGACACGAAACAGCGAAAACTTTCGACGAATCGACGAATATTACCGTGTTGCATTCAACTTGTACAAATCATTCAAGAAAGACATAGATGTTCGCGTAATCCCTGCTCTTCGTGGTCGATCACCGCGTCAACATTTTAACAAATAATGAACAACAATATTTCAACAAATAATAAACAAAACCAGCTAATCGATTAAGGGGAAAAGAAAATTTATTTCCCTCCGATTTAGCCCCTTGCCCTACGATTTCTTTCACAGCCAAATTAACCCGTCGCTGTCGGCTGGCTTAAAATGTCCCACGTTCTCTTCCGTTCGAAAAAGTGTCATCGCGTGAAATTAACAACGACTTCGATACCCTTGAAAGTAACAAAGAACTGAAGATACCAGAAAACTTGAAACCCTCGCAGCCGTGAAGAAGCTGATAAGAGGTTACGAAAGACCGCGAGGAGGACGTTTCGCGCCGATTCGAAGGCCGCGTCCGTAAGCGCCGGGACGCAGCTCGGCGAGCAGGCATGTAGGAATCGTGTAGACGACGGGGACCGACAAACACTCGACCCGGAATCCTCTTATCCAAACAAAGCAGCCGGAGGTGTTCGCTGTCGCGCACGACGGGCGAGCGGTCACGGGTCGGGCCGGTGTGGGTGTTGCGGTAGCTCGCGAGCCAGCTCCGAAACGCAGTCGTACCCGCTCCGGGGGTGGCAAGCTGGGGAGCGGGGTGGCGAGCTACGGAACGAGGGAGAACGATAGAAAGAGCTCCGGCAAGATAGAGCGAAGAAGAGCTGGACCGAGTAGAGCGGCGATTCCGCTCCGACGGAGCACACACGGCCGGAAGACGCGCGGAGCGGGTAACGCGCGCGCGTTAACATACTCACCTGGTCGGGCCGACCCAAGGTCAGGTCAGTAGGCCGCGGAGGAACGCGAACACTGGTCCCTAACCCCCGTTGGTTCCAGGCTGTCCGGTGAATGGCGGATGACGAGCACACTGGATGGTCACGTCGTCGCCATTTAACACCTATCTACTGCACACCGAGCCGGATCATCCGGGCACAACAACGGGGGACGACACTCTCCCATAGCCGTTCACCGTGGCTGAAGAACGGGTACACCACCGGCCGAGAACAGGGCCAGGAACGCACTGTGTCGACGTCTAGAGCGGACACGACGGCGGGAGCGTGGCACCGCGGCGACGATTCTCCGGGCCTCTGTCAGCTTTGAATCACTATGAACCTAACGAAACACCGACCGGAGCGGTGACTAGGGTCGACCTGGCCTCCTCGAGCCTCACCGAAGAACTGGCGGGCTCGTGCGCTCGCACGCACCAGTTACCCCCCTTCTAGACCACCGGTACGCGACACCTATCTTCTCCACCGTAAACCCTCGCCGCTTCTTCCCCTACTTCAGCCCCTCCAACGGCCGCCACCCACTAGCACCCCCTACAGCCCTCTCTTCCGCTCTCCGTCACCCTCCCACCCGAGCTCCTCTCTTCTGGCTCGCGTACGATCGCGGCGCGGCGGCGCGCGGAAAATTCAAAGACGAGAGTTAATTATAACGACTCGCCGAGGAGGGACGACGCGACGCTGGAGCATGGGTCTCGAACCTATGCTACCCAGCTATCGGCCGCGCTGCCACGGCCCGATCAACCTTTCGACACCCTTTGTGGATGCTGCTAATCGCGACATCAACGCGACCCTTCTTTTTTTTCGAGCGCGATAGCCGGCCGATCGGTGCTCGAACGGGTTCATGGGATCGGTACGGGTCGACCAAAGTGCGGTTCGAGTCGGCGTAACGGGCAGCAAACGCGATCGGGGATTGCCGGGGAATGGTGTCGAGGCATCGAAGTTGTTCATTCTTCACCTTGGTAGCGGATCGTGTCGATTCGATTAGATCGCAATTGAATTTCGCTATTTAATTGCATTGTGTTTCGATTACGTAGCGATTCAACTACGTTCCGATTCGATTACGCGATTTGAACCCGTCGGTTGATACCGCTTGTAATTCGTAAGGAAATTGCCAGGAGATCGTGCAAGTATTAGATAAATTAGATCTTGCGGAAAGCGAAACTTGTCTTAATTAGAAAATCGGCAATTCGCGCGTCACGCCGTTTGAACTAATTTTCCGTCTCGCGTCGTTTAGATTGAGTCCGCGTGTTACATCGTTTGGGCTAATTCTGCGTGTCGCGTCATTTTCATCGCAACCGCAGAAAAATTCCGGTAATCGCGCTGCATTCGATCGAAGACACCGAGTCGACGGATCTCGGGAACGAAGAGGGTAGATTCGATCTCGAAGGATACTGTTCATTCGGAAAGACGTTGTTTCGCGTTGAAAGACAACTCGCGCGTACGTCCCGTTATCGCGCTAAAGTGTGGAAAATTGAAAGATGACGGTTAATTACGACCACATCGTTGCCGCTCATTCATTTCGCACGACGTTCCTCCCGAGTTCGCGGCTCCTCCGAGTACACGCTTCTGTCTTGTGCTAGGGCACAATGGATTTTGACTGCGATACACGTAGACCGGGCCGCGTAATTTTAGACCGACACGAGACCGCGCAATTTGCTCCATCAATTTCACAATGCGCCGCCGGATCAGCGAAATTTCATTCGGCCGATATGTCACCGTTAAAAACAAAGGCTGCCGATTTATCGCTGACCGGCGGACACAAATTCACGCGGCCGATCGCTTCGATGGTTATTCGTTCGCCCAATCACTTAAACAGCACGGTCTCGGCGTTGTTTCCCCGGATAAAAAGGAAATTTATCGAAGATTAATCGCCTGTATCAACCGGAGGATCGTTCGCTTACGTTCTCTTTTGTGTACAATTTTTCGACGATGCATTGAGAACATTCGCGGATATTGAGCTGACGATCTCGGCTTTTAACATTAAGCTTTTTAACAGTTTCGACTGGTTTCGTTGACTTCGCCGCATTTATCTCCTACTCACACGTCAGGGTAAAGTCAACCTGTTTGTTTTCCTTGTTAATTTATAACTACTGATTGGTAGTTGCTGGTTTCGTGATATGTAAATCTTTAACTTGCTTCATCCCTCCGTGTCGTGTTCGTTCAAAATATTAACGCTAAACCTATCAGTCATTTTGACCAATTTCATATTTTTAATTTTAAGATCTTTTTGTCTTTTATTGTTAAGGTTGCATCAACCGAAGGGTCATTAGCAATTATACAATGACATTACTTAATGTATGGTAATTTAGCATCTTAACTATCTCGAGAAGTAATCTCAACTTTTAATTAAAATTAAATCTGATATGTTGACATTGTGATAAATCTGTTATAAGAAATTATCGAAAAGCTTCCTCAATTCGAGCATAAGTGAAAATAAAGTCTTGTCATTCTTATAGAACAACACACATCAGCCACTTTTATTACTCGGTAGATTTAGTGTTAATTGACACTATCCTAATCCTTTGCAGGGATCTTTAAAAGTGCATATTCCTCAGAGAAATAGTTTACGTATAATATGTTTCCAAATTTTTGAATAAAACATACAGCGATTAAGGCGTGAAACGAAAAAAGGATGAAACTAATCGGCGAACTACATTCGGAACAACGACGAATGCTAAAGAGATAACCAGATAAAGCTTCCAAAAAGACCGCAGAAATGGGCCGCAAACAATGAATTCAGCCAGGAAGCTGCATGTTTGCGAAGTTTCATCAATTTCGTTGCAGCACTCGCGAGCATAAACACCGCGTTAACTAAAAGAAACAACAGCACGATCGATGTTACAAGAGCGCGCCGCGCGAAAAATGTTTGATCGCCTTGCCAGCGAAGAACGATCTTTGCTCTTCCAATGAAAAAGTGTTTTCGCGCAACCGTACGAAAACAACGAACGAAGCTCGAGTTCCCGTTTCGGTTGTTCCTTTCGAGACTATCGCCGACGGAAGCGATCAAACATTTCGCGAACAACGGCGCACGCATTTCCCGGGGAAGCAACGATCGACTAATCTTTTCCGACCGCGCATCGCAATCATGCGATCCCGCATTTGTTATGTAGATGGGAGAGTAGCTGGTTTTCGGTATGCATTCCTGCGATGCGCCGGTCTGCATGAGTGCGCCAGCGACCGAGCCAGCCCAGCTTCGCCCCCGCATACGTGATTATTATTAAATAGAACGTGAAATGCATGAACCCGCGAGGAAAAGGCGGGTGTTGGCCGGCCGTTCAATTAGCGACCGCCTGACCGATTAATTTTTACGAATTCGAGGAGATTGCCGATGCTTATCGATGCCGAACACTTTCGTAACCCGCCCACGACAAATCGTAGGAGGCCTCCGACCCGAAACATTCCGATTTATTGAAATTCCCTCGACGTTTAACCGGCAATCGACCGTACTCCTCTCTTTGACATACTTATGCACCGCGTCTATCGTGTGTGTTCATTTATTTCCGTTCCTACAGTTCGATAACAGGTGACTCGTGTTTCTTTATTATTATTATTATTATTATTATTATTATTATTATTATTGTTATAAGTTCATTTATTTTAGCGAGGTCGCATTAACTGCGAAGTCATTAGCAACTGCATGTTTTGCAATTAACTATACATAAAGACATAATGTTCTAGATTATAATTAAAATTTATATCCTCATGAACGACCATAACAGTCATATAGATTTATAATTCAGCACTAAACCTACCTAGGTCTAAAAGCAACTAACAAAGATTGTCTTATGACAATTACAAGACAGAATTTATTCAAATTTCATACAATTTTTATAACGGCGTGTGTGCCTGAATAGAGAAATATATTCAACAATTCTTAATGGAAGCAGCTTTATGACTTCAGCAACTACGATATAAAAAATGTAAAATTAGTACCATGAATTATGAAACACCCTTTTTAAATCTTCTGTTTTTCGTAGGAAAATGTTAACGACGAAGAAGATCGAACCAACACAGCTTTGAAATAGAACGTTCTATGTTACAGAAAAATCATTCTTGTGGCAATTGAAACGACTGTACCTCGAAGATTGCGAACGACGCGTTTTCATTTCTCGGTTGAACGATGAATCCTACGAAACTGGCACAGATGAAACGTTTCTTCGACGGACAGAAAGCAGCCGATGTAAATCGATCGAGAGTACGAGAAATTAGCAAGCGCTGGACAGACGTAACAGACAACATTTCTAGCAGCGCAACGAAATACATGTCCGGGCACGTTGGAGCACTTTTCGGCGTAAGTGGGAACCGTGGACAGTGGACAGACACGCGGACAGCGGCGTGTGAAAAGTGGAAATAGTGGACTGGTATTTTAGCCGGCCGTATTCGAAAGCGCGCGTGCCTGATGAATTTTTTAATCCTATTTTCTCGAAAAGAAAAGCAGGCGCGAAAAATATTATGCGTCGTTTTCCATTTGTTTGTGGCACGTGGAGGGTCGCGAACTGTCCTCGACCCCGCTAATTATTACAGAAACGGAAAATAAGAAATCCTTCGCCGGATGTGCGTTTCGTTCGAAGAACGACGTCGAGGCTTCCCGCGCGTGATAACGATAAACCCACCGAGGTCTAAAAGCGATTAATAAAAATTGCCTCGTAAAAATTACATGACAGAATTTATTCCAATTTTTCACGATTTATATATATTATGTTAACCTAAGCAGACAGAACTGTGCCGGGGTCACTTCTGACTCACACCGATACTTCACCGCGGAGCGGTGTTGGCCGTGGCAAGGCGATCGTCATTTCTCGCCTCGCACAAACAACTTCTCACTGTGCGCGTAATAGTTTTCAAAACGACGCGTCACGACGAGTCAGTCACCAATGACCCCGGCGTGGTACTCGAAGAAGGCGCCGCGTGAACGCACGTTACATTTTCGATTCCGATCGGAACGCGACAGAATTCTGCTGAATGTCGTTCGGTTTGTAACCGTTCGTTAAGTGCGGCGTGTTTGTGCCGTCGCGCAATTGACTTGCCGTGCACGCGATCTTTTTCATTAACTGATAATTATTGTAATTACGCGTCACGTTTTCCCTTTTCGCTTCCGCGACACGCGGAATACGAATTCGTCAACGTTTCGAGATGGCTTTAATACTGAAAGTACCAAGTGAGATCGAGATGACTCGTTTGCCATTTCTCATAAACAGTACTCATTTTCAGTACATTAGGTTGTTCTTGAAAATTTCGTACGACGTTTTCTGAAATATGTAAACTTTAATTAATTCTGTAAAGCGGTTTTCTTTTTTCTTGTCTTTCTGTTGTAAAATTTCATGCAGTATACCTACATTATACAGAGATAATAAATTAGTACTGATTGGTACTTTCCGCGATTATTTTGCAACAGTTTGTAATACGTTCGACAAACGACATGAAAATATTTTGCAGGGAAATTCTAACGCTATGAAATGAGAAAGAAGGAACTAATTATTAAAACTGGAGGAAGAATGCCTCGAGGCTGAGCAAAATTCTGTACAAACGGAATATTTCTTTCGCAATTTCTTCTCTCTCTTTTTCTCTTTCTCTCCGATGAATATTTAACACTTGCAAACAGATATTCCTATTGCTTACGACACGACGCGACGCTCTTAAATACATAAATAGAATGAAGATTTTACCTAACACTGTAGTTTGCACGCTGATATCATCGCAGAAGATTCTAATAATCTTTTGTAGACCATTTTCTAATGAGAGATTATTAACGTTCCTAAACTATATTATTATACTTTCATCTATTATACTACACAATTCATATAAATTGCGCGTTTCGAAACCAAGTTATTGTTGTCACGTAACAAGGTGAACACACCAATATATCCTTACTATTTCTGGCGCGTGAAAATCTATGACCCACAATATGTATAATCCGTGCTCAATATATATATATATATATATAAGTAGCACCATCAATTGTTTATTTATGAAGAAATCGACTATGATTTATCGACCAAAAGATCCTATAATAGTGTGAATAAGTTTCAAAGTTTTGCACTTTTAATGATATTTAAACAAACACTCAACAAGACATATATTAGAAATAGTCGGAAATATAGAAATATAAAAATACGATGTTTTGTTAAGTTTTCGTTTGGATATCAGTAACAATATCAAAATTACTTTGAGTCTATAACTATTAGACAGCGGATTTTTATGCAAAATAAAAGTCATCACTTATCGTAATTTCAGTTACAATTAATACAACAGCATTTTTAAATCCCTTAAATCTATTTAATATTTTACAGTTGCTCTACTCATTTTCGCTATAAACGCATAAAATCCGCCGTGTCTAAAAATTACGCACACCGCTGCCTAAAAAAGCTGCGTTTTCCCTGCGTAGCTCGTTTAAAAAGAAAACTGGACCTACACTGATTGACTTCTATTCCGCGTCGATATACATACAACTCAGAGAATTTCTATTCTCCAAAACCAATCTACTCGTGTACAACGAAGTATGTGCTCCAGGCTGCATTAGAACGCTAGTTTTCGAACCGAAGCCGAGCGTGCCAATGGTTTTTTGACCCAGTCTGGCTGCAGGGAAGGAGAGATCGTGATGGAACAGGGTTGACAGAAAGAGAGAGAGAAAGCGAGAGAGAGAGAGAGAGAGAGAAAGAGAAGAGAGAGAGTGGGGTTGGAGAGCGGGTGCGCAGGTTCGCATAGCCCGAAGTTGCGTGGCGATATAGCGTTTCCAGTTTGCAGTTTGGTTCGCGGCACAGAAATTGCGTAGGAGTGCGTTTACGTAGGCGTTGCAGGCTGCAGGCTGCAACCTGGCGCAGCCTGCAGTTAGCAGGGGATGCGATACGCTGCGGCACAAAGCAGACCAGCAGCAGCTAACAGCAGCTAGCCGCGACTTCATTCCTCAGGGCGCGCGGCGTGGCGCGAATCGATAAACGGCGACCATCACACAACACACAAACTCATCCTCGTTCTCACCGACCAGCCCGACCTCGGCGACCGGGTGCACCGTTCCCCAGATCGCACGGTCTGTCCGTACGTTACACATCGCGTGTCACTCAAGTAGACAGAGGCTTTCGGGCAACACCGCGCCGCGCGCCGGTACCACTCTCTAACGACGTAATAATCCACCCACCCATGCCTAAACAGATTCGAACGTCAATCTCGCTCCCCGCGGACTCGTCTAACGAGCACCACGAAATCCGACTTCAATGATACTTGTCGGATCGCCTCGCCACCGAGCGCCAGTCAGCCGTCGTCGGTCCAAACGACCGTCGACCGCCTCATTCCACCCTAAACACTGCCAAACCGTCTGTAAACAGACTTTAGATTTATTTGTGATTTTTTATTTATCGAATAAAAGAGATTAAATTTTGTAATTCTTTTGCTCTGTTTATTCTTGAGTAAAAACATTTAAACCGTCTTGTTTGATGAATATAAAACTATAAATATATATATAAAGACAGATTACATTTTTTTATTCAAGACTAAACAAAGTAGAAATAATAAAATTTAATATTTCTTATTCCATAAATATAAAGTTAATTGTGCCCGAAAACGAAACCAATTTACGATTTGAATTGAACATTGTTCGCTGCTGATGACATATGAATTAGGGTGGAGAGAATGTGTTAAAGACTGCATACGTATGAGCCAGAAATTTGGATAGCGGTGTAAGGTTTTAGGGCAACCCGTGAAGCTCTTGAGGGCAAGATGAAGGGCCAAAGTGCTGAGACCGAGCTGAACAAATTGCACGGTCGCCTTTTAATCAGTCAATTGGATTAGGGTGATTTGAAGATTCGCTCGACTCTTCTGGCCGCAAGGAAGTTTTCTCTTCAACGTCTCCTGGCCAAATGGATTACTCGGACCCATCAGCAGGACTTGTCCGTGAAAAGTACCAATTACAAGAATTAGCGAGGATTGGAGGTGGTCAACGAAGCTACCTTCGGCGAATTAATTAAACGGTGTTGATAAATTTAGCTAAGGAATTCTCGAGGAAAGGAAGTCTTCTTTGGTACCCTTAGGTCCCTTAAAAGCCTAGCATTACAGGAGCCAGGTGATCAGAGCACCGCTCTCCGCGGTGTGTTGAACCGTGCCCGGACATGCGGAGGCCCGATTGCTCATTTACGAAGGACGCTAAGTGCTTGGAAATCACTCTACAAAGTTGCGGGAGCTGATGCTTCATCTACCTCGCCCCGTTTTCGCCTGCGCTGTAGATCTTGCGCTCGCTCCGACTAATTACACCCCACTATACTTCGGCGATTTGATTTTAGTTAATCGTCCGAGCCCAAAGATCTATTACCGATTATTTTTACTACTTCGTTTCGTTTTCTATGGTAACGCTATTTTTCTTGACACTTTGACGACCGAAGTCGCGTAGATATACATGACTTCGCAAAAATTTGAATTATTACCAAAACTTGTGTGTCAGAATTATTTAAAATTTAATTTTTAAAAGTTACTTTCTACGCCACAGTCCATTATAATTTCTTAATTTTATTAAGATTCGCAAGAAGTAAGAACGTTGAAAAAGCAATCGATGTTATATAATTTTGCTTTGCAATTTTAATTTCGTTGATTAAAATACTCTAATTTTATGAAATTTTTCATGTTCTTGCCGCGGTCGTCAAAGCGGTCGTTAAGCTACGCAAAACTTTGGTTGTCAATAGCGAGCCAATTGTTCGAGGATCTCTCGTTTACGTTGTCTCACCAAAGCCCGAAAGTGGTTTCATGTTTGCAAACGCGTAACTTGAAAATTCCACGTTTCCCGCGAATGAAAGTTCGCTTAGGAGAAAATGGAATTTTGAAATACGACTTGTTTGCCTACGGTGGAAAGTTTTTGCTCATAGGGCACCTTGATGACAGCGCAGTTTAACCTACGTTTTATCGGGCCAGCCATCTCTTAACTGCAACTTTGTATCCCGCTCGCATAGAAAATGAATGACACCAACGTAAATGGAAACAATCGATACTAAACAGACGCTTGGGGTCTCTCAATACGGCCTACTTCAGTTCACGTTTTTCAAACAAATTTTTCAACTTAATTTTTCTAGGAATACTCGCACGAAGATATTTTATCCGGAATCTCGAACACGATTCCCTAACACGGTTTTATCCATCGAATGTCCTCTTCTTTCTTGCTGCAATTTCCTATTCCTACCGAAATAAATGAAAGAATTTGAAATTGTTATTCGTTTTGAGATAACTGAACGAACAATTTTAATATTCGTTTCGAAGTAATTACTCAAAGTTATTCGAAGTAATTAGAGCAAGTGAAGGTTCTAGTAAATTTTAATAGAAACTGTCAAATATCCATTTCTTTCCCATAATTTTGGATTTGTTTTAACCCCTTAGCGCACGGTTTTTTGGGAAAAAACCGGCCAAAAAAATCAATTTTTGGTGGAGAATTTTGATATATTACGCTTCTATTCCATGTAAAAAGGCTCTATTTTATTCTTGTATAAATAAGTGTTATAGCTTACAATCCCGTGTAAATGATAAATATCAATAAAACGATTTTTTTTTCTATGCTTTCACATTGTTATTTTCAATTCTCGATTATATTCGAGTGTGAAAAATTATAGCAGCATAAAATACAACGCCGCTCGAATTATCTCGAGTGTGCACAGTTTGGCCTGTTTAGCGAGCTCGAATTAACTCGAGCGTACAAGTTAAGGGATTAAACTACATACATCGAAGGACGAGTGGAGCGTCCAGTAGCTTTTAACAGAGGAAGATCGTGAATCTGCAAGTTTGAAGAACCGGCCAGACGAAATGCGAAGAACATGGTAGATTTACTAAAAGAAAATGCATTCCAAACAAGTATACAGGTATCCGTGTATCCGGGAACGAGGTTATTCCAGATCGCATGCAATAGCGGTGAATGCGAGCCATTATCATTTGCATTCATAATAGTTGGAACGTACTTAGGCACAATCACTACTTCGAATAATATACAATGCACACGTACACGTATCTCAGAAGTACAATAGATAAAAAACGATTGTCCACCATTAACGTGGATAAAACGGCGCAAAGTGTAAATTGCACTTTCAGCTTTCGTTTCTCGACTACTTTCATTATGATTTCATCGTTTGCATTAGAAGAATCGAGCCCCCGCACTTTTGTCCGCCTTTTTCGAATTTTCTATTCGTATAACGAAACTACAATACCGAATCTTTAAACAAGTTTTAAGAAGACCCAATGCAATTATTTTTTTAATAGAGATTAATCGACTCTACGTTCCTTTTTAGGAATTTGTCAGTAAATTACAAAAAAAAGACAAAGACAAAAGTGTCTGTTCACGATTGTCATTAACTATTCGAAATAAAAGATTTAATTGCAGAAAACAATATTAATCCAAATAATAATATCATATTACTGTACGCTAATAGAAATATTATATTAATAGTGTATACTATATATAATATTTTTTTATTATTATTAAAAAATATTTCGTTAGTACATTAGTACTTTACTATGAAACACTAAAATATGAACACATTTAAATAATATTCTAAAACGCCTTAATATTTATTAAAATATAAAATACTTTACAGGCTCTAAAATAAAAATTGTATTTGAAATGTTTCTCTTTTACAATCCTTTTAGTAATTAATTTTTTATTCTTAATCTTGCATCTACAAAAAGCACAGTGCCATATGTTTAATATTTATAATCAGAAAATTTCAAAGTAATAGAAAAATGTGAAATCTGCACAAAAATCGTACTTACCGACTGCCAGTCTCCCATGGACTCCCCACCACAAAATCTCCATAAATCCCGCGCATAAGATTCAGGTTATACATGCATACATGTGTACGTCGTGCATGCAGCATCTTTATCTATCCGTAACCAACGGATTTCAATCGCTAAATGAAATATAATATGACAAACTGTCTGCGAATCTATGCAAATTCTCATTTTCACATGTAATTCTACGAAATTTTTCATGACACAAATAGAGTAAAGGTATCCTTAATCTTCATTCATATACATACACGTTTCCATTGCCAACATTTCCATATGCCCTCGAATGCATAAAAACTTGCAGTCTAACGGCGAACAACAATGTAGTTAGTGAAATCGATAACTTCAGCATCAAAGAAACAAAGTAACGTTTCGTAATCAAGGAAAATAGAATGCAATCGCATTACCGTTCAATTGCTTTGGAATACAAAGCGTATGTGTAGTACCGTATACATGTATGATACCGTACGTGTGTATGATACCAGATTTATTTATAATCGTGTGCACATATCACGTATCATAAGATCAAGAAGATACAGTTTAATTATCAATAATTTAAAAAATATCTCACCACTTGTTACTGGGCTAGTAATGTGGAGCTTGGGGAAAGGTTGCACGATGTGAACATCATATTACCGCAGCATAACCTGCTAAAATAAGGAATAACAGGTTGAAGGCATAAATCGTGATCGTCGACGATGTAATCCGTGCGAATTTAAAGAAATGCCATTACCAGCTCGCCAGCGACAACAGGATATTTTGGGAAAAGTTGAAGACAGGACGCGTCCGCGTCCGCGACGAAAGCCGACGAACGCCATTCTGCAACGTCGAAAAATCGTCGAAAGTTTGGCGCGAAAATGCAGTGCGCATGCATGAAAACTGGCGGCCTAGATGGCGGCAGCGGCGCAGTGAAAACAGAAACCCAAACCGGTCATGGAGGCTAGTTAACGACTGTGCGCCGCGCTTGCGAATAGTAATTTTCATCGAGATATTGTGATTGTTACGCGGACGCCAGTAAATCGAGACGGATATCGCCGGTTCGAACGAAAATGGGCGCATACTTGTCAAAACCGATCACAAAGAAAGTGTCCAGCGACCAAGTAGGCAAGAATGTCGCGTTCGGCGCGAGTTCCATGCAAGGCTGGCGAATTAGTCAAGAGGTAAGCTAAAACCCTCGAGCGGCCAGTGCACCGTTACCCAGTTTCGTTTCGGTCAGAGAACGGTTTGCCGGTTCACCGTTTCGCCAAGGTATTACGACATCCATCCTGATCCATCGCAAACGTAATCCACCTATGTCTCGGAGCGCGAAATTCAGTCGATTCGATTCGGCGACACGGAAAATCCTCTGTTCAATCTAACGGGAATGTTTCAACGATTCGCGTGTGAACAAAACCATAAACGGCGCACTGTTGCAAAATTAACGAGGTTCAACGTGCGGTGCTTTTCGAACTACGTTTCGGTTCGGATCGGTTCGCACGATTCGCCAATATATTTCTGCTGCTGGCAAATCTTTCGACTCGTCGCTACGTTTTATGCAAATTTTCTGATGCTTTTCTAACGCACACCATCGATGCAGGGAACAAATGTAACTGTCAAAGTTATGGAACTCTTTGATTGACCGATCGTAAATCTTTGTAGCAGGTTTGTTTGAGAATAGAACCGTGAAAAATATAAAACGTTGTTCCGTGCAGCTTTAATTATGTTATTTTATTTAAACACTGGTTATTTGCAATGTCTTTTCTTCGTTGTAAATACATTTGTTTATTGGCATCGAGAATGTTCACGTGTAGCAACAGAATGGAAGATAACCTTATTTGTACAATGTATTGGGAAGACTACTGATTGTTTATAAAATCGAAAACAATAAATTTTGGTTACATAAAATACGCGTTAAAGACGAAAACCAAAGTATTGAAATTAAAATTAATTATTTTGTATTTGTTGATCATATTGTAAAATATATTGAAAATATAATTTGTTTGTAGGATGCTCACAATTGTTGCATAAATTTCGATGAGAATGTATCCCTGTTTGCTGTATATGATGGCCATGGTGGTCACGAAGTGGCAACATACTGTGCAAGTAATCTACCAGATTTTATTAAACAAACAGAGGCATATAAGAGAGGGGATATTGAACAAGCTTTAATCGATGCCTTTTTGGATTTTGATGCTACGCTTGGAAAACCCGAGGTGGTTAGCGTTTTAAAAGAACTTGCACGAACATCTACACCGGATAAAAAGAAAGACGAGACACATGAATCTGGTAGGTTTTTTTCAGCCAAAATCATATTTTCTCATATTTTAAACCGTGTCTACCTGAAATATATTACTATGCAATATGTTTTTATCAGTTACGTTATTTTCATATATTATGTTGTTCATAGATGAAGAAGAAAATGTTAATAATTTATGTATGGAAGCAACAATGCCATTGGAGGAAGTAATGGCTAAATATCAATCAGAATCAAATCCTAATGTAAAAAATCTGAAAAATGAAAAATGCAATAAATTGCCATCCTATTTCTTTAATGCTTACATGCGTTGTCGTCGAGGTAAAGAGAAGGCTACTTCCTCGTCGTCTGGTGCAGGATGTTCATCTTCTTCAACTTGGTGGAACACAAATGAGACAGATGTAAGTAGTTCCAGTCAACCATGCGGATCCACATTGTCCAGCACAATGAAAATAAAAGACACAGAGTGTCCTGGAAACAACGAAGCAGAACAAGTTCTGGATTCGACAACTAGTAACGTAAATACACATGCATCGCCTCCAGTTGGGTCAACTGCAGATGTGGAATTGGCGAAAAGTGCAGACATGCCCGACAGTTCTGAGGATGTAAACAAAAAAGTTTCCAGTCCTGGTAAAATTACGTGCACAGAGTCAAATGCGAACGAAGTAGAAGTAAATGGTGCAGAGTCAAAACGAATTGGAGATGCAGACAGCAGTAAGAGTGGAGGTGATAATGTGTCAAGTAGTTCGTGTACCCCACTGGAGAACGGCGACGCGGGACAACAGGAACGAATAAGTAGTACCGGTAGAAGAAGAATTCAACCTATAACATTGTATCATACTCTTTTAAAAAAAGATACTGAGGATTCGGAGGAAGATGATGATGATGAAAACGATGAAACATTTGATGGAGTACCCGAAAGGTACGAACCACACTAATGCAAAACTAAATTTGTATGGACATATACCTAATTTTTTGGAATTGCTCTTATATAGTTACAGTGATGAGGACGACACAGAAGATGTTGATGAAGATGAAAGTGATGAGGAGGAAGATGAAGAAGACGAAGATGCTGATGGAAATATTGATGATGACGACGATGATGATAGCGAGGGTCTTATGATGGATACAGAAGAGGTATAGCAAATTAGTTTACAAAATATAATATTAAACGTCATCAATATTAACTTTATATTAAAGTAAATGATTCGTTTATACAGCCTGGTTATGATAGCGGATGTACTGCAGTAGTTGCAGTGTTAAAGGATAATGAACTATATGTAGCAAACGCGGGGGATTCGCGTTGTGTTCTATGCAGAGATGGCAAGGCAGCTGAACTTAGCTTCGACCACAAACCTGAAGATGAACCAGAAATGGACCGCATAGTAAAAGCTGGTGGGAAAGTAACAGCCGACGGCAGGGTGAACGGTGGACTTAATTTATCAAGGGCGCTTGGGGATCACGCTTATAAACAAAACGTTTACTTACCGCCGCAAGAACAAATGATCTCGGCACTCCCAGATGTCAGGCGCATCACAATTAAACCAGGAAGAGATGAGTTCATGGTGCTTGCTTGTGACGGCATTTGGAATTTTATGTCAAGTCATGATGTCACTCAATTTATCCGAGCACGTTTGGCAAACAATTACGATAATCTTTCAAAAATTTGCGAAGAGGTTTGTGCCAATTGATTGATCTTAACCTTTTTTTTGTTATTGTAGCATTAGTTACTAATACAAATTGAACATTTATTACAGTTATTCGATCATTGCCTCGCACCTGATACCTGCGGAGATGGTACAGGATGCGACAATATGACGGCTATAATCATCCGATTTAATCCACCGGCCGAAACAGTAGCAAACAGTACTACCACAGCAGTTGTATGTAGTGCTAAGAGGTCACTAGTGACACCCTCAATATCTACAGATGAAAATGACTGCATTACGCAGGAAAACATGAAACCCTGCAAACGTCCTAAATGTTAAATGTTATGAACTGATTTCTGGAAACAGATGAGTGAATGTGAATTTATGTAAAATTATGTAATTCTATAGAACTGTGGATTTCGAACGGATACTCGATGGCGATCATCACAGTTACTTCAAACAACATGTAAAGTATGTTAGCGCAGGCTATTGGTGGCAGACTGATGAGTTGGAGCACATGAGGATGATATCTTGCATTTTACATTTTGGTATGATAAGTCGTAAGTCAAAAATGTATTTTTCTGACTGGTACGAAACAAGAGCGACCCTTTTTTTCTTTTGGACTTGAAGGCGAATCATTTTTCAGAATTCATTACTTCAGTTATTAATGGGTAATGCACCGTGCGGTCTAACGTTTTTATAACATGTACAAAATAAGTAAGACAGTCAAACATAATTCTATATATAATTAACAAGATAATTGATGTTTCTCTTTATAAGTACTTTCTATGATAATGTAAACGATAAGGAGACGACAAACATCAAACTAAAATCATCTATCAAGTCAGAGCCTTGTAAGATTTTACAAATAGGGTAAGGATACCTTTAGGTAAAAAATATTTTTTTTTTATATTTTTATCATCACTTCATGATCACAGTACTGGTGTTTACACACGAGAGAACTTTGATTTTCCGTCATCCCATTTGCTCCATCAACATTATTGAAATATACTCTTTGAGTTTTTAGATAACATCCATAGTAGATATGTAATTGTACATATTTATAAATTTAGGATATAGGATTTATATTTGTAATTCAACACGATACCATTTCTTACTTTTACGAAATAAAGTTTATTTTTGAATCCCTGGGTATAGTGAATGGATGTGTGCGAGTAATCTCAAAATGTGTAAACTGTATCGTGTAATGAGAACAGTTGCGTTACGCGCTATCAATTTGTGATCTTGTACTAAAAATACTGTTAAAAATGGTATGCACCGTACCATGGGTACTGTCTACTTCAGGAAGCTTTCATTTTCAAATTTCACACATCGGAAGCGTTTTGTAAATTTATATCATAAATACGATATTCATTTGGAGGACAAAGATAATTAATAAATTTATCAATTAGGGATAATGTTATTTAAACGAAAAGAAATTAAAAATGGAAAAAAAGATTAAAAATCAATAGGATATGTATTGAAAAGTAGATTAAAGTACTATAAGAAATGTGTAAAAAGGGAGGTTGGGAAAAAACATATTTAAATTATTTATCTGTTTTTTTAAGAGACTTTATTTCAGTCAAAATCGTTCTATCCACACTGTATGTTTATAGTTTCACGTCTATATGACTAGATCGATACATTTTTTACGTGGTGATGATGCATAAAATTAAGTAACATTTTTAACCAGTTACATATAGAAATACTGCTTCTTTTTTATCTCTCTCACGAACATAATTTCATAATACCACTATTTCATCGTAACATTAATATAGAAATATCGCGACATTTACGTATTTACAGAAAAAAATGCGAACTTTCTGTTCATTAAAATAGTATAGCTAGTAGATCAGTAAATAACGTAAATTAACTGCGGTATCTTTGAAATTGCTTTAGAGTTTTTATCGTTATTCATCTTCTACCAATGCTCACATGTAATTGCGGCTGTTAGTAGACAGTAATTGTAATGAGAAACTGTTTATAATTATATGAAGAAAGTAATCGTAACATTTACGAGAAAAGGGGAAAAAATAATATTGTCAAGGTGATCAGAAGCATATAAATACTAGTAACAGTACCTAGTATCACTCAGAATTAACTGACGTGCCTTTCTGATTCAGGGGTTCAGAACCTTCACAATATGTATGTACATTCGATGCCGTCTTATTAAAAAAAGGGTTTAAACCCCGATACCGTCTTTAACTGCAAACTTCGTCATAAATTTATGTATAAATATCTTGTTTCATAATATATGTCGCTCTAATTATCTTTGGTAACTTTACTTATATTCCTCGATTCGTGACAAAAAAAATGATAAAACTGATATAAATTTCTTTTATATGACGGATCATTAATTTACTGACAATTGTTCGATTGTTTCCAACTGCTCCAATTCGATCTTCTTTAAGGAATCGTATTGTATACGGAGCCTCTCAAGTTCCATAGACTTCTCAACAATCTGTGCCTGAAATTAATAAATATTTCGTTTTCATTAAATTGTATTAGGTAATTTCAAAATAACAAACGAACTTCTACGAGTTTCTCAAATGCTCATTTAACTTTAATATTTTCCTTTTGTGAGACATTTAATTATTTTAATGTTGCAACAACCTGAATTTGTTGTTTTTGAGCATCCCTTTCTTTCGCCATGGAACGAAGTAAATTTCGGGTCCCGATAGTCTTCATTTTTTCCTTTTCCACTTCGTTCGCTAATTGTTCTATGATTTGTATAAATTGATCGGAATTTGATTGGAACTCAACAATTTCTGAGAAATAGAAAATAACAAATATTTTATCAAATTATACAATAAAGTCATCGAGAAGATCGTACAAGCATCCTAATCAACATTATTCCAAGTTCTATCATAACTAAAAAGATGTCTTCTTTTAATCAATTAAAAAATGCCCAAAAGAGTTCAACTAAAAAATTTATGTTATAACTGGAAGTTCATAAATGTGTACATATTATTTCGAAAAGCATTGGAAACACAATTTTTTATGGATGCGACAAAATGTTAGAGATGATGAAATTATTCGTGCACTGTAGATACTCTCAAACAAATGTTTGTGAGTAATATAAGCAGTATGGAACTGTAACACCATACAGTCATTTTGAAACCCTAGTTAAGATTCCATCCAAAGGCGGCAACCTATGTAGATGGCAGTAATTACTATCGGAAAGCATGTGCGTGCATTTGTTTTGTACGGTGACGTATTGAATAATTATTGAACCCACGGACAGTACGAGATAACAAGGTAAGCCAAGCGACAATCATTGTAATAACGCTGTTTTAATGAAGTAGCGCGTAGCGAAACAGTAAACGAACGCAAATTATGTTGAATAATTATAACGATCCCCATGCAACTTACTTGAAACGAAATTGTGACATTCTTCTTTAAGCTTACTCGTCTGATTAGCCACTTCCGGCTCTAATACACGGATCTTACTTAAATCATCAATGTAAATCCCATACTTTGCCAAGGAGTCGGCCATTTTCTTAAATACATAAACAAACGATCGACTCTTTGGTAATCGCGCCTGCGCGGGTCTTAAGCTAGTCTTCATTTCTTCATGCTAGTCACTCACCAAAATGGAGGTACGATAGGGTGTATTTTTTTATCAAGTCACAAGATATAAAAGACGAGTGAATCGTACCGTTCAGTAAAGTTTCTTCGTCGTTTACGATGAGATTAACAAATGACACATAAAGTGTTTGCGTATTGGTTGCCGTTCATCGTTCGCGTTGTCGTCGCGAAGTCCGAACGCTCCGTTCTTTCAGAATCGTATTTTTTATTTTGACATTTAACGTTTTTATTCGAACGTTCGTTACCATCGATATTTGAGATTTCGGTTTATCTTCGTTGTGGTTCGTTATGTCCGGAGATCACAAAGCAGGAATTAAATATCCTTCGGAGTACGTCAAGCTCAATATCGGCGGTTCCTTACACTACACAACCGTAGGTACACTCCAAAAATATGACACTATGTTACGTGCTATGTTTAGTGGTCGCATGAAAATGATCACTGACTCCGAAGGTGAGATGTTTTGTAATTATTCAATTCTAATGCTATACAAGATTGCTATTAAACAAATAGACAGTTATGACGTTTTACATAAATCAAAGTATTTTATAGTCAAAATATTTACATGATTTTTAAATGTATGGCTTTAAGTTTGTGTGATTAAGTCACAAATATTATTTATTGTAATTCTCTTATAATATATGCAAAAACGCAATACCATCCTCATCAATACTCACAGCAGCTGTTAGGGCGCAGTATTCATAAAAGTGTCTATTTCTTTGATAGTAGTCCTGTATTACTCTGAATATACTTATATTAGTCATTGTTAGACCTTAAACAATGTTAAGGATTATAACAATCTGTTAGAAGACAATACCCAAAGCTATGTTTAATATCTTCCGAGTTACCTACTTTTTCCATTGTTACTCTGTACCAAAATGTTATGAATTTTATTCACAGGGTGGATATTAATAGATAGGTCCGGTAAACACTTTGGAACAATTTTAAATTTCCTGAGGGACGGCTCAGTCCCATTACCAGAGAGCACTAAAGAAATGGCAGAACTACTAGCAGAAGCAAAGTTTTATTGTGTCAGCGAATTAGCAGAATCGTGTGAGCAAGCACTTCTTCGAAAGGAAAGAGAAGCAGAGCCTATTTGTAGGGTTCCACTTATCACTTCCCCAAAAGAAGAACAATTATTAATTAGCAATACTACTAAACCAGTGGTTAAATTGCTTATTAATAGACACAATAATAAATATTCGTATACAAGGTGATACTACCCATTTCATAGAAATTGCAGTATTCCACAATGCAAAGAACAAATAAATATAAAAAGCCTTGTCTTTACAGTTCATCAGATGATAATCTGTTAAAAAACATAGAATTGTTCGACAAATTGTCCCTTAGATTCAGTGGCAGAGTGCTATTTATTAAAGATGTGATTGGCTCCAGTGAAATATGTTGTTGGACATTCTATGGTCATGGCCGCAAGAGAGCAGAAGTTTGTTGTCACTCTATTGTATATACAACTGACAAAAAACACACTAAGGTAATATTAAATGTCCACATTAATTAAAAAATATAGATAATAGTAAGTGAAGGTAAAGAATGACAATAATGCTTCAATTCACAATACCTAGGTTGAGTTTCCAGAGGCCAGAATTTATGAAGAGACATTAAATATTTTGTTATACGAGCACCGAAATGGTCCTGACCAAGAACTAATGCAAGCAACTTCCTCTCGCGGCGCAGTCAGCGGTGCACCGCCTTGTACATCAGATGAAGAAGAGGGTGAGCGTTCATTGGCTCGCCTTCGATCCAACATACACCCAACATTATTCCCTTTATCTTTCCTCATCCAGTGACCCTTAGCGTCGATCGAGTCCTCACCCTTAAAATACGAGCCAATATAAAATAAGATGTGTGAGAAAAGAGATGCGAAAAGTATTTCATAAATATATGTATATATACACGGTGTTCGATAACAGGTTAGAGAAAATTCAAAGAATGATTTTCCATGACAATATAATAATGAAAATGAAGAATGAAGAAATGCGGTTTCTAACTATTAAAATCGACCAATAGTGATTTTTCTTCTCGATTTTTATTTTATATTGTCATAAATCAGCCCTTGAATTTTCTCCAACTTGTTGTTAAATATCCTGTATATGTATGTACAAATATTTCATATGTATATATGTGTCTCTGCTCTATTTTGTGCAAAACATAAATTGAAAATTTTAGGATTGGTTGTATAATGGGCTACCATTAAGTTTGACATCACACTCTCATATTTTCTTGGTATATAGATATTCATCCTACTTATTTCACATATCTGGGATCATTTGTGGATAACTTTGAGTTACAACAGAATGACAAGTTCGTCTTGACTTAATTCATACTTAGGTAATAAGGTATAGAGTAATACAGAAGGTGTAATATGTTTTCTTATTCCTTATTTACATATTGAAAATTTGAAGATAAGTAGCATTACGTCGATTGAATCAAGTGACCTCATACTGTCTTCTATAGAGGCAGATAAGAGCATATTCATTTAAAGACACGTTCTCTTGACCATTTCTAACAATTCTGGGTCCTTTTGGTCAGATATTTCGATGTTCCAATACCTAGGATCATCAAAATTTCTGCACTAAAACATCGATATTACCAGTCGTAATTGAGCCTTCCTTATAAAAAAATAATATTTTTAATTAGAGAGATCTTCCTTATTAAAAAGTTGTTGCAGTCTCTTATTAATTTCGACTGGATCAAGCGACCTCATATTGTCTTCTGCAGAGGCAGATAGAAAACATGTTTACTTTAAAACCTATTCTCTTGGCTATTTCTAACAGTTCTGGGTCCTATTTAAAGATAAGTATCTTTAAGAGAGTGAAGATGCGAGTACCATTTATGTGCCAAATGATTGTGTCAGATATAAAAATTGAAGTAAAAGTCGAAGTTGCCATTCTGTGACTAATAAAATTATTTACTATTTTATACTCTATAACAACTTTTAAGCAGTTGTTTAGAATAAGAAATTGTAAAGAAGTTGAACAATATAGGACTACATTGTTACCTGTTATAAGTATTATTGTTATAGTAGATGTTACTATTGATATGATTATCACAATTACTATTAATATCATTAATATCGTAATGATCACTACTTTTACTATTATTTCTGTCTTC